ATCTTTCTTCAAAGGCTTTAGACAAAATAAGAATGAATTTTTCCCTTCATGTTCAGTTTTACAATTTAAGTTTTAAAAAAATTAAACTTTTATACTCCTGAATAACTGAAATCATCTGTTGCCTCTGATCTAACTTGTTTTTTGGGGCAGGAATTGCCTAAGTATTACCCTCAAAACCAGACACTCAGCCAAATGGAAAGCAAACCTGTAAGGACAGCCTGCTTGTGCCTTCCAAATCATGGAAGTGTGCCAGACAAGTTTGTGTGCTGCTTGGTACACTGCTTGCACTCAAGTCTGTGTTTCACATATGTGGATGGCAGTCAAGCAGGATGAAGAGCACATAGCATTCAAAACCTCTTCAGGGGCAACTCTTTATGAGCGGTAGAGACATATACAGTGGGTCTCATCCCATATAAAGCCTAAGCCACCATGAAAATATAAAATGATAGAGAGGCAATAAAACATTTTTTTTTTAGGCAAAGGGAAAAAGTCTATTCAGTCCCACATCATATACTTGTGTTTCACACAAACTTCATAATGACGGTTGAGCTGTGCTGTTCAAGGCAAAGAATACTAAATATAATAATAAATCACAAAGCTTTGTTAAATGGTGCTAACTAAATGTTTAGCAGCTGAACATGTTAGCATTTTGTAAGACAAAAATAATTTTGTGAGGTCTTGTAAGTATATAGAGAAGGACTTCGACTCCACCCTTGCAGTCTTTAAGCCGCAGGAGGAAAAAACTTCTATTACATGAAAATACTTACAGTGAACAAATTCAACATTTTCCTACCTCTTAGAAAGTGTTTTTTTAGATCAGGAGTAAAAGTCCTTCAGAAAAAAATTTCTTTATTCATTACTTCTCCTGCAATGCCTAGTACATTAGGACTGAGACCTCTAGCTGTAACTACTGCAAAAAATCATAATGCAGATGAGAAACATCTTTCAAGTCTGCAAACTATTTCCGACTGAAGAATGCAGAGACTTTCATTACATGGCTTAAAAATTATTTCTTTGGATGATGCAAAGTGTTCCAAGGGATTTTATCTTTTATTGAGCATTGACAGTGACAACCTTGGAATATTTCTCTCTCATTTGGTATACTGAAGTGTAGGCAGCTGTCTGAAAAATATAAGATTCTCTTTGGGTAATAAGAGCCTTTATAAAATAATACTCAACATATAGGATTAGGATTGTTCACTGAAACAAACAAATCAAGTACTCATCTGGAGATTGGTAGTCTCTAGGGCCCCATGCATGTTCTGTAGTTTGTAAATCACTTCTCATTCTATTTCTGGCAGAAAATCCAAACTATTCACCTTCAAGAAGTCTCTTTCCACTGCATTAGAGTTACGAATTCTAACACCAAAACCAGAGAAGGAGGCAGTTCATGACCTTACCTTCTGCTTCTCCTGCCTTGCGACCCTGTCAGTGTCAAAGATGTAGCTGGATAACTTTTTTATATTGTCTTATTATTTGAAAGTAAGATGAAAAAAAAGCATTTTCTGAAAGAAAAGAAAAAACTATTCACAAATTCAGCATGGGACTAACTCTAAACACGGAACAAAATCCCATTAAATTAAGGCCTGATAGCGGACAAGGCCATTTGAGCTCTGAAAAAAACCACATACCAGCATATTTATATTTTTCTCTCTAGGAAGAGGAGAGAGTTATACTCAGTAACTAACTTCCAGTAATGCATAGATGCCCATCATCATTGTATGATCACTTGTCTGCCTGACAATTAGCCAATACACTGATTTTTATCACTGGTACAACATTTTCTTCTTCTGCAGAAGCTCTCTTTAAATAGCACCTTTTATAGACAGCTGAAGTTCATCAACTGATGACAGGAACTAGACAGTGCCATCTGCCTTAGCAGCAGTTCAGGTAATAGCAAAGAAAACCTAATTGCCAAACATGAAATGTCCAGGAGTGGATTTTTTTTTTTAATAATGTCCAATTAAAAGTGGACCTATGAGACATTACGTGATATTTTGAAGAAGCACTTCAAGTCTGCTCTAAAAGAGCTTTGCAACCAGTCTAAGTATCCTGTGTTGAATATTATGTTATCACAGTTTTGTTCCTTTTGGTATCTAAAGTAGCTGGAAATCTTTGGTTAATACCCCATGGCACTTAGATGAGAGCTGGATACCAGTGTGATAGCTATACTTAAGAGATACGTGCATTTTTCCTCCTTCCTGGACTCACAGGGGTATCTCCAGGATACTGTAGAGTAGAGGAGGAGCTCAGTGGCAAACACAAGGGATGACTGCTGACTCTGGGGCCACAGAGGCTAAGATGGGTAGGAAGCTTCAGACAGCCTCACACTTACGGGGCAAAATACTTTATTTCCTCCACAGGGGAAGGTTGAGAGCTCAGGACCGCATTTCCCCTTCTGAGGTCATTTTGCAAATATGTCAAATGGGAGGGAAGGAACATATTCAAACTGCAATGAAGATGACAGTAATAACTGCTTCTGGTTTTCATTCAAGAACTATTTAGTTTAAAAGGCATAAACATAACTGGAGTCAGGGACAGTATCTCAAGTCTACCTCATCCCAGATAGATTTTCTCAGTTCTAGGCAACAGACTTAAGCTCTTTTCTGCCAGTGTTTCCTATCACAGAGATACCTTTTTTTTTTTTCACACAGTAGCCTGGGTTCAGCAGAATAAGTTCTTTGCCACCAGGTAGTCCGCAGAGAAATGGAAAGTACAGGGTTTGTCTTCCAACAGTGAAGTGACCCATGGACCTGGACCCCCTCCCCAGGTGACGATGTACTGCATCACATAAACCAGTGTATCAAGAAAAGAGCAGCACTGTTTCAAGGGAGGAATAAACCAAGCTCTTGGCATTCTGGGCTACTTGCCTGTGTTCAAGAAGAGGTTGGAGCCTCTGGAGCTGCAGAGGTGTTGCCAACCTTGCAGCTGTGGATAGAATGCACCTGGAGAGTTCTCCAAACTCACTAATGTTCCTGCCTTTAGATGGATTTTAGCCCGCAGTATGTAGCATCACAGAAAAAATAGGAACCTTGGTGTGTGCTGCAGGCCTGTGAATACTGTCCAGGCAGCCAAGTGCCTGTCTCTGAAGCAGAGTACAGGTGAAAACAGAAGTTTCCATGAGCAGACTATCTTCAAGCAAAAACAAGTTGTTGGGACTACTGCCTGGTTCTTAGAGATTATCTGTACTATAGTAAAAATTTCGCATACACCTCTCAACAGCATGTTCTAATCAAGCTCCAGTAGGTATTTATGCTACCAAGTAAAATTATGTCGTATTTAGAAGATCCTTTTCCTGGCATGTACACAAAATTTCTTGGACTTCTGCACTGATTAGAATATAATTTCTATATTGGGAATCATTAGGAAAATTAAAACAATGTCTCCTGTAAAATTAAACACAAGCTGCATGGGGAATCTGTACAGCTCTGTTCTCACTTTGGAATTTGGCAATAACACTCAGCCCTTTGGGCCAATATCTGTGTAATCTAGATGTATTATTATTATTTCTGAAGTGTCTATAACAGTGGTATCTACGCACTGAAGTTTGCCAAGACTCTGAACTCCCAAAGCAATGCCTTTCAAAAACGATTCAAAAAATTAACTTTTCTACTACATTCTAAACTGTAGCACACTTATAAAAGGTCACATTCTGAAAATTTGCATGAAACAGCCTCAACACAGCAGACATCAAGAGAAGAAAGGCATTACTTCATCTTAATACTGCCTGTCCAGATGCATTCAAACTAATTAAAAATATGAGAATTTTTAAAGAAGAATCGTGTTTGCTTTGCTTCTGAGTCACCAGGGATGAGAGCATCCAGTTTTATGCCCACTAGTTTTAAGTTTAGCATCAGCAAAATCTGTGCTCCATCACAGATCTCCAAATGAAAGTCTGTCCTTTTCCAGAATACAGTACGCCTGTCTTTTTATTGAACTTCTTAATCTCTTGAAAAGTGTCCTCTTTTTTTTTTTTTCCAGACTCTCTGCAGACTGTCTTTGACAGGATTACAGGAACCATGTCTAAATTATGTTTCTCTATGAAGCAGTCTTGGACTGCCACATTCTCTCTGATCCAAATTCCCATGAGCTAAAAATGTTGGATTTGGCAAGTCTGCAGTTACACATGGCCTCCAGCTGTTCTGTGATAGGTTAGGAAATAAACTGGCCTTCATCCAGCTCAAGGGATTCATATCAAAAGCTGTGTAATAAGTATTATATCTGTGCAAATGTAAACATTCACATTTTATTCCCTTTTTTTCAGCAGTCCACAGATAATTTTCATATTACTAATAAAACAGGAAAAAATGGTCTTTTCTTCTTGAAAGAGAAATTACATATTTAATTCAAGCTGAGAACTATATGAAATCTTTAGCATTAAACACAGCCTCCTAACAAGCATATATAAAAATTAAAGCTACTCCCCATTTTAAGCAATATATGCACAGTTTTCATACAGAAACAGTGGTTCAGAAAAGACTGAGCATTCCTTAAAACAGGTGTAAGCAGCTATATTTTTGTTCCAAACATTAGTAGTAGATTAATGGCATTTTTCAGTCTTTTAAAGCCACACATACAGGAATTGTGTGCATTTCTCTATAAAAAATTAGAGTGATACACTTTACTGATAGGATGTATGAGCAACAAAAACAAACAAACAAACAAACAAACAAAACCACTAAAACTAACCTTTTAAACCTTTTACAATGAAATAAAATTGTCCATAATCAGCACAGAAATGAAAATCCGCTCATTATCCATTGATCCTTATCACCAAAATGCAATATAAATAGCGCCTGATAAAAGGCCAAGAACTCTGTTTCTGAAGCAGCAAAATCAGATGGGTCAGATACAAAAATCATCTGAACAGGACTCACAAGATTAAATGCAAACCAATTTGATATTTAAACAGAATGTATGGCATCGGTTCTTAGGTGAAATAATAATGTGAAGTGATAATAGATATCAGAGACATGACCAATCAGACTAAACAGTCTAAAAAAGTAAGTTAGTGATTCCATTAGTGCTTTTTGCTGGTAAATCACTGTAAGAATCTAAGCCAGTCTTACCATAGTAGTTATTTTGCTAGAATCATGATTGAAATTTCTTAGCTACTCAGCAGGCACCAAGAGAATGATATACAATGAAGGAATTGAACTTCACAAAACTTTTGACAAATAACGATATTCTGAGGCTGGTATGTGCTTTGAGTGTAACTGCCTACACTTCAGTGAGATTAAATTTTTATTAAAAGACTTTTTTCTCCTTTTTTTCCCTTACCGTGAAAATTTGTATATCCTGCTGTTGTGAGACAGTTCTTTTTATCAGAGGAAAAAATAACAAGGATTAAGAAAAAAAATGACCTAAATAATAATAATTACATTTTCAATAATAAAAGATGTAATTTGAAAATTATTTGTATCACAACTGTCTCTACACACCCCAGTTGAGATTATGCTAAGGTTAATATTGGCAAATGGTGAGATACAAACCTGGTCCAAAGAGTTTGCAGAATAAGTGAGAGGTATCAGGAACTAAAGTAAGTCTGTAAGTGACAGCTACCAAGTTTCTACTAGAGATTTTGCTGCTGACCTCATGTGGAGAGTGTTACGAAGGGTTCAAATAATATGGTGCTGGCTAGAGCAGTCTTAAAATGGATTCTAGGATCCTAGGATATTTAGGATGATATAATTAAGATACATAGAGAAAACAAAACAAAAAAGGAGGAAATAGAGGAGGCACGTACCAAACTGGGAGATGTACACATGCACCACGAGCCCCCTATTCGCACTCTCACACATATTTGGGTACCCTGGGCATCACGGAAGTATATGGAAGAAAAGGACCTCCTACCACAGTCACTGTGTTACCAAACACCCAAGCAGACTCTGGCTGTACTTCGCAAGGATTATGCTACTCCCCCCTCCTCCAGTAGATTTACCTCCTGATCAATAATAAAGAATTTGCTTTCCCCAAAAGGTCAGGCAGACTAGAAGTAAAACACCTTTGTGTGTAATCACAGATAAAGAAAGAACTTCAGCTTTCGCTGATTAGCAATTACAAGATTAGCCCTGGGAGTAAAAATTCTGTAAGATTTATAACTGCAAAGAACTTTTATAGGCCTTGTGGACCATCTGGTAGAATTTAACAGAAAATTATGCTTGCATCATAGAATTCTTTGCTGGCACTTTCCATTACTTCTAGGGCTTTTTCTGTCAAGGACCTCTCCATACATTTTGCTGACACTAACATTCCCTGAGTGAAAGAATTAGTTCTGCACTCATTATAATGGACAGCTTCTCTCTACTCTTTCATTCTATCATTGTAAATGAAATAGTAACACTTAAAAAGGACATTTTGGGCCATTTACTTGCAGGACATTATGCAATTCTGTTCCTTCCTTAACCTATAAGGCAATACAGCACTGCACATCACATATGCCCCGTAGCTCCTCTGCTGTTCTCTTTACCAGACTCTTTAAAAAACATCCAAAGTCATGGTTCTGCCATTACTTGTGTCTGTAGGAGAGCAGACTATTGTAATACAGCTTGTATTTGGTAGTACTTGAAAGTCTTCTTTTTCCTCTTATTCAAACTGAAGTCTTTCCTTCTCCCTGCTTGTGACCAGCTTCTCATAGGAGACCTAGTTTGGAACAGCAGTGCCATAAAAAAGACATCATGATAGATTCTCCATGATGTAAATTAGAGTGCTCCAGTTCAATCACATCCCCATCAAGGTCTTCAAATGAAACCTCCCACTGAGATAGAAGCTATTGGATTTCCATCTGTGTGTCTCTTGCTGTCAATGGTTATTGTTTAAGTAAACATTGGTTTGTATTACTTTCTTTTTTTTCTCATTCAATACATGTTGATGCCTGGTTAAAAGGAAAGAAAATTGCAGTATTAAAAGACTAGTATTTTCAGCATCTTGTGATGTAAATTGCTAATTTAAAACCCAAAATATTGTTAAAGTGTCTTTATTTAATAGCAGACGATTGCAAGCTGTAATTTGCAAGCTGTAGTTGCAGATGGCAATGTTTTTCTCTCTTTTCAGCAGTACAGTAAAGTATTTACTGCAGTGATCTGCAGACAATGACATACCAACTGCAAAAGAAATACTCAGGGGTAATACAAACTATCAGAATTCCCATGAGGTCCACAATGGAAGGACCTGCAACTAAAGCATGAAATGTAAATGCCAATTAAAACATTCAAACCTCTTACATAGTCTCAAATAACAACTCTTTGCAATAGACATTTTTAGTACTTTCAATTGCCAAGTATTTTTCCAATATAAAACAACAACTCTTGTTCTCTTTCCTGATTTTTAATCTCTTTAGATCAAACACACTCATTTTCCAATTCAGACCTAGAGGCCCAAGTCTGGATTTCAAACTGACAGCCACCATCTGGACCACACCAGCAGAAAGGGTTATATGTGATCTGGCACGTGTAGCATACCGTGCCACTTTCTGTACATAAGGACATGCCAAAACACCAAGAATGTATTAAACAAAAGCTTTGTCTTTTATTTCATTTTGTTAAACAACTCCTCAACGTTTATTTTTCAAGAGAAAAATTATTTAACATCATCTATTTAACAATATTGTATGAAACATTTAAATACTGCATTCTGTAGTGCCATCTAGGGGATTTAAAACCTGGAATATAATGCTCATCTGATTTTCAAAAAAAACCCAAACCATAAACATTAAGAAATCAGCTATGACTGCCAGAGCAATTTCTTATGTATATCTAGTGGTTTGGATTACTTTTTCCTGCTACAATAGGAATATTTGAACAAGGTCCATGTATAATGTCACATCTGTAGAATCCATAAATAGGAGATGTATTATTCTATACTTCTCCTTTATAGACAAATAATTCACAAAAGCAATCTTAAAAAATATCCCAAATAAAATCAGTGTCATGTTCTGAAATAGGATTTAGAAAAAAACTTCTAGCCTTAGTTCAGTTACCAGGAAATACATGAGGTTTTTTTTGCACAACAGATATTTATAAAAAAAATCAGACATGTTATTGTATAAAATTACAGGAAACAAGAGAGCTACTGGCACTTTCTTCAATACTTAGCTTCATTTGTATTATTTTTTATCTAAAATTTCCTGAACCAGATGCCATTACACAGTAATTTCCAATGCATCACTGAATAAATTGTTAGGAATTATTAACTTTGTATCATATTGATAGCTAGGATGATCTATAAGCTCTTTGAACACATTTGCATTCTCTTTCCTTACAGAAACCAACGATAACAAGTGCACACATTAAATAAGCGATCATTCAGAAGGGAAATGCAGAGAAAAAAATCAGACTATGTAAACCAGAGAACTACAAGCCTACCGTAATTCAGACCACAGAATAGGTCCATTAGTTCATTACCAACACATAAAAAGAGATATTTCTGGATCATCAACAGTCTTCAGCTGCCAAAATGTCATTGAAAACGATGAATAATTGACACAAGTAGAGAACCTACATACTCACTCACATGATCTTGCATTTTTTCATAGTCCCCATAGATCAGTTTCCAACCATCGGGATGCAAGACAGGACCATTACTTTACTTTTGGATTTCCAGACCTCACATTTTGGCATTCTATCTGGAAAACATGTACATTAAACATTTACATTATTTGCTGAAAACTACTTGTTCATAAGGGTAAGATTTGAAAAGCACCTACTAAGTGTTCTAAGAACATATATAACGTCTTTTGACGTGCCTTTCATTTTGAGCTATTTTAGGCAGTATTCAGCCTTTGATCCTGAAAGAAGCTTCCATTTTCAGCTGGTTGCTCCCAGCTCCTCCATCCTCTCACTGCAGTGTCACCCAGACACATTATCCTTTACATCCTCCAGTCACCCACCCTACACTCCTTCTCACCTCCCCAGTCCATGTTCCTGTGTCTTCTTCTCTACATTTTTTACCACATTGCACCAACCCAGTGCTACACTCTGTGCCTGCCTAGGCCTCTTCCTTGTGCTCCCACTTAGAAGGACAAAACACAATATTGCCTTGGGCACTTGAGAGTGTATAAGGGAACAAACTGATACTACACATCTTCTGATCAGTGGTAATTGTAGTTCAATGGGCTCTTGCTCAATGCAGATCAACAGGTATATCATAACTTAATGAAAGGAAAGGCAGAGGCCTTGGATGTGTATTCCTATGGGAAGTCATTCCACTACCTGTAATTAGCCCACAATGTCTTAAAAGGGATTTATAAGGGATGATGCAGTATCTGAAAGTATGATTCTGTTGAGTGATGGTAGATTCACTCCCACCACCTGCAGCGGCTCCAGCCAAGGACCCTCTTGCCCACCTGCTGGAGTCCAGCCCGGTGCCTGGGCACCTATGGTCTCTGCCCAGCCCAAGGAACATGGCTGCTGCTTTCCCAATTGCAGGTTCAACCAGTAGTAAAGCTGCACATATGTCCCAGAGACACACATGCACGTGCAGACACACACACACAGACACATGGACACAGAGAACACTGACACGGCTGGTCACAGGCTGCCATGGACAAGGTGCTGCCTTCAACAGCACCTACATACAGAGCTCACAAAACACAAGCCAGACATCCAAGTCCCCTCCTCCTCTTCAGCTAGTAGAGACAGGAGGTCAACAGTGCAGACACACACATGACAATCTCTAGATTCATGAGCACACACATATTCACAGTTCCCTTGAGTACCAGCACAGTCCCTCTGTCCGTCCAGCACCCAGGTGCCTTACTCACCAGCTCCTCTAGCTTGATGCTCACTAGGAAACACACACACTCACACACATCCCTCACACACTTCACATTTGCAAGTCTCTGTGGATGTACCAGCACAGACCACCTAATACCCCAGCCCTCCCTCCCCCTCCCCTAGCTGGGAACACATAGAGTTCCTGTCCTAGTGGCTCAAAGTTAAAGATCCCCACACACTACAGCAGAGGCCCCACTGGCTCCAGCAGCTGACACCACAGACACCCTCATCCCTGGCCTGATTCCAGTAGCTAACACAAAACCCATTGACACACATACAGATCTCACAAGTGACTGGCACTTAGTCCTTGCAAAACACAGGCACAGGGGACAGGGAGTGAGGATACACAGAGAGACAGTCAAGAAAGATTTAATAAGACATAAGAAGATAGGACATACTGCAGAGATCAGGTGCAGGGCTTGGTCAGGCAATGTATTGACCAGCCCCATTTTGCAGGTGACCAGTCTCCTTCCCCTCCAGGTTCTCCCTGGATTTGTACTGATCTGTCTATCCTTGGTCACCTCCTGATCCAGGGTCCCCCTTGTTTACAATTTTATCAGTTGCAAAGTCCAGGTTGATCTTCCTGAAAGTAGCATCTGTGGTTCTTTGATAGCTCATAATTATTGTGAGTCATAAGGTCTGTGTCTTCTCACTGTCTCCATGTTTGCTTTATCAGGTCTGTGTCTTGGTACCTCTTGGTTTCTGGCTTCCCCCTTTTTCCCTTGGATTCCTAGTTGACAAGGTGCCCCAAGGTCTCCAGATTGCCTCACTGGAATAAACATTCTGACTCTCACATAAGTCCCCATCAGTTAGAGTGATTGATCAGCTTTAGTTCCCATCACTGACTCTCTTATCATTTGTCCACCAGGTTTGTATCCTTCTATGTTCTTGTTTATGGCTTCCTCCTTTTCCAATTATCCCTTGTCCCCTGACATTGAAAAAGTCCTTGACCAGATACCCTAAAAGCAGCAGACACTCTCCTGTCACACAGCCTTCCACACATTCTTCCATCCTGTGAAAAGGCACACCAGAGGTTCTGCCTTCCCCATGCTGGCTGATGTTGCTGACCTACCTGCCTATTTCTCCTCACTTTTTTTTGTGGAACTGTTTTCGTAGCTTATTGTTTCCTTTACACCAGCAGTGACCATAGATAGAATACTGCTAATGGAAGAATGATCATCTTTTTTTTTCATTTTTCAATGAACACAGAACTATGCAGAATATTAGCCCAAAACTAGAAAAACAGTCAATATGTTTGAGATTTTCCAGGGAGCAGGACCTAAACTAGCTTGAAAACTTTGAGTGAAATAAAGTTTGAAGCAGTGTTGATATAGAAAAGGATAAAAAATATGAGCTTTACAACAGCAATTATTTTTGAGGATAACAATCTGTTCACATAAAACACCATCTATATTTAAAATAAGAAGTCACCAGAGATAAGGGGAATTACAAAGCAATGAGACTCACTGTGGTTTCAGAGAAAGTAATTAAGAGCCTAATTAGGGACAAAACCATATAAAAACAAAAGTAAAGCTTGATGAGGAAAAAAGCAGCAAAGCTTCCACAAGAGGAAAGCACTTTTTCCTACCCTGATGTATTTCTTAGAGGCAACGAACACTCAAACAAGATTTTGTGGGCCAAATTCAGGAACTTGAAAAAAGCAACTAATCCATGGAACGGGCAAATTTTACTTCACAGTAGTACAAGTTAATGTACCCAAGCTGTAAACTGATAGCCTGGAAAATTAGATCTTACTTCACCATACCCAGATTGTGCACCCGGTATCTGATAACCACAATGAAGTGGGCGCTCAAGGTGATTCTAATTGACTTGCTATACTTTGCATGACAAAACTGACAGTTAAGGTATCTATAACAGTATAGTACTGCTATAACATCCCTATATGGACAGCCATGAATTATACATTATGGTTTTATTTTCACTATATGGAAAATATAGGGGTAGAAGAGAGTTATGTATCTGGTCTAATGTCACAATAAATAAACATCAGTTTGGAAATAGCACCTGAGTCTCCAGATTACCAATAACAACTGTATTTTTACTTTTCTTTGCAGCTCTATACCAATAATAAAATATGAGGAGTGAGGCTGGAAACTCACTGGAGCTTCCAGTATGTTGCTATAGAAGACTGTAAGAGACCTCATGGGGTCAATCTAGATTGACTGAACAGGGAATGCTTTTGAAAGATGCCAGGGAATAAAAGCAGAGCATGATTTTGATGGACAACCAGGGATCAGAATTGTGCAGGCAATTTAGACACATCCACTGAATTCTCTACTGACTATGGGAGGATCAGGGGGCCCCTGGTGGTCTAGTGGTTAGGGTGCAGGACTCTCACCGCTGCGACCCGGGTTCGATTCCCAGCCCCCTGGGCAGATGGAGCTCGTCAGCCCTGTGAGGCAATCCATCTAAGAGAAGGTCACTCTAAACAAACCTACGTCCTGGGGACCTCACTGCCACTGTCCAAGCTTGCTCGGCCCCGGCAGATGAACCTCAGGATTAAAGGGTGGGCTCAGTTCAGCGCACGCTGTGTCTCACCTAAAAAATCCACTGCGCAGGCTCGAAGGGTTAATGACCTTTCCCAAATCTTCGCTCGCGAAGACTGGCCATTATGGGAGGATCAAGGCAAAAGCTATGCCCAAGAATATATTCCAGTTCAATAACATTCATGTAGAACATCAATTTTGAGTTTGTTCATTTGTTTTTTTCAATTAACATTTTCCAACCAGAACTTTCTGTCAATATGATTTCTAAGAGCCTTAAGTTGTATTGTTTCAGGGGCAATCAAAATGTCAGAAACTCACAAACACAGAGCATCCCTGACGAAGAGGAAATCTCCTGGAGGCTCACCAAGGTTAGACTACTGCACCTGCCTCTAGGGATAAGGGTGCAAAGAAAATGCAGATAGAAGTCAAAGCAGTGTTCTCTTCTATCTTTCTGGTCAAGAGGATAGACCCAGAGAGAAACAGACATCCGTGGCACAAAAACAGCTGGATGCATACCTGAATCACCAGTAATGCTTTGTTTTCTTTCTTCATAGTGCACTAGGAGACAGACACGGTGACCTAACAAGGAGAGCTTTGAATGAGGGGGTCTATGTTCAGATGTAAATTAGAAAGCAGTGTATATAAAAGTCTGCATAGGAAAGGGCTCCAAAGGCACAGTCCTGCTTCATGCACTTCCATACTAATGCTCAGTGCTTGAACATGAAACAAAACAGAAACCTGAAGTTATCTTGGTAGAGGTAAACAACAACAGAAGATACAGCCAACAATAACAGAAGCTGCAGCTTGGAAGGTTCAGGCTGGACTTCTAAAGCGTTCCTCACTGGGAGAGTAATGCAGCACTCAGTAGTCAGCAGATTCACTGAGCTGCATATTAACTAGAGGACTTCTAGGCATTCTTTCCAAACAATTCTAGGATTCTGTGACATATTTAATGTTCTCCATCTGCTAATTTGAATGCAGTCTATGGGGTAGGACTACTGCTCTTCTGAAGATAAACACCTCAAAACTAAATAATGTGAACGTCAGCTTCTCATCATCATCTTGGTCTACAAATCTGCTCCTACCATGTTGCACTACTTACTAAAATATACATAGACAAAGAAGACAGTTTTAATACCTGTAGGAACTTAAAGGCTACTGATACAAACCCAGTATGATTTTCAAGAATTTCAATATCCACCTCTATTTCTTCTAACACAAAGCTGAATCCTTTTGAAAAATCCCCTTTGGCATCTATCTCAATCTTCAGGCACCTTTTAAAATTTAGCCCTAAATTCTCTAAGCTCCTTTGGAAAATCCTAGCCTTTATCCCTTTAGGAATG